TTTCCCCGCCAATAGAAATAATGCTTTAATTAGGACACAATGTCCCACTGAGAATTAATCAGCTTATCAGCTACCACCAAACACTCGAGGGCCAGTTTACCATCTGCCATAACAAAAAAAAAATTCCTTCTCATCACAAGCCAATCATTTGGTTATATTCCCAATGATAATATAGAAAACTTGGTTAGTTTTAATATAGAGAAACACTCAGGAGAATAATGTATGGTCACATTTACTTATTTTCATTTCCCATCAACTGCAAGTTGGCAATGGACGACATTTTTTATTTATTTATTTTTTAATGGACGACACCAAATAAATGTCATGAATATTGCGTACGAATCAAAATGCCTTCTAGGGCATTCAACATCCTGACAGGAGTACAGGGTCAAACATGCCCAATAAGTCCTGCTTCTCAGCCCTTCTCCCCCTTCCCATCACATGACCCTCTCCTTTTCTGGCCTGGTCCCACTCCTCAATCTAGGTGGACCTCAGGAGCAACAACTGCCATCCTGGGCTACAAGGCTCCTTCCCTCTTGGAGGTTCCATAGCCTCCAGCAGCAGGCCTGGCCACCAGCTATGGAGCAGCCCTGCATGGCATGGTCCTCCACCCTCTGCATGGCACAATCCTCCACCCTCTGCATGGCACAGTCCTCCACCCTCTGCACTGTATGGTCCTCCACCCTCTGCACTGCATGGTCCTCCACCCTCTGCACTGCATGGTCACCCACCCTCTGCACTGTATGGTCCTCCACCCTCTGCACTGTATGGTCCTCCACCCTCTGCATTGCATGGTCCTCCACCCTCTGCACTGCATGGTCCTCCACCCTCTGCACTGCATGGTCCTCCACCCTCTGCACTGCATGGTCCTCCACCCTCTGCACTGCATGGTCCTCCACCCTCTGCACTGCATGGTCCTCCACCCTCTGTACCTTTTCTCCTCAGGCAATCTCTAATTTCAAAGAAAGGGTAGTGGGACTTAGACCCTTCTTCATCTTCTCCCTCCAGCTTTTCCAAAACATGAAACAAACCTCTGGGACTTTGTGAGAGTGTCTAAAAAGGATTACCAGACAAAGGAAGACTCATCATGAATGTGGCTGGCACCATCCTATGGCTGAGGTCCTGAACTAAATAGGAAGGAGAAAGCAAGCTGAGGACCAGCTCCGTCTCTTTCTGCTCCCTGATTATGGACACCAGGTGACCAGGCACCTCACAGTCCTGTTGTCATGCCTTCTCCACCAGGACAGAGTCCACCCTCAAACTGTGAGGCAAAATAAACTTCTTCTTCTTCTTCTTCTTCTTCTTCTTCTTCTTCTTCTTCTTCTTCTTCTTCTTCTTCTTCTTCTTCTTCTTCTTCTTCTTCTTCGGTTTTTTTAGACAGGGTTTCTCTGTGTAGTTTTGGTGCCTGTCCTGGATCTCTCTCTGTAGACCAGGCTGGCCTCGAACTCACAGAGATCTACCTGGCTCTGCCTTCCAAGTGCTAGGATTAAAGGCATGTGCCACCACCACCCAGCCCCTTTCTTCTTTTTTATTTTACAAAATATTTGTATTGATTATTCAGGAGTTTCACATAATACACACTGATCACACCCACCTCCCTGTCCTTCTAGGTCTGCCTCTCCAAACTTGGGACCTCCTGCGCCCACCAAAAAAGAAGAAAAAGAGGGGGCAAAGTTCAATTTGCATTGCCCATATACTCACTGGAGCACAGTCAAACTCCGGGTGGCCAGCCCCCTAAAGAAAACTGAGTCCTTCTCCACCCCACCCCTGCCAGAAGCCGTCATTTGTGGAAAACTACACTTCAGCATCCTTATCACAGTTTTGAAGAGTTCTCTTTGATGCCTTTCTGTCTAGACTGTTACTTTTGGGGGGGAGGGTACTCACAGAGTCTCCTATGCCCCTCTTTCTCAATTGTGGGCCTGCAGTTATCGATACCATGGCAAAAAGTAGCTCTCTTCCCCTTTACAGTCAGTGGGGCAAAGATCATGGACTTCCACATGGTTTCTGGCAACGGCATGGACCATGGACATCCACATGGTCTCCACTACGGAGTATGAGTTCTGCCTCTGTCCACCGCGCACTCAACCACTCTGTTCCTCCATCTTCCCCACTTCTCCATCACATGTTCCTTTGTTGTAGTGGCATCGGAAACTGCAGTGTGTCACACAGTATATGTTTTTGCCTAAACAGCAAAATATTCATTGCAGTGAGTCATTGGTCTGGTTCAAGGTTTCTATTTTCTGAAGGACCATATATACTGGACCATTACCGAGACTCAACTTGGGTATTCTGCTGTTGCCCAGAGTCAAAGTGATATAAAGACTAGGCAGGGCATCAGGGGTAGGTTCTGTGTGAGCTCCTGGCTCCTGCACACCTCCTCGCCCTCAGTAACTGCCTCCCCAAGGCCCCCAGGCTCCATCTGTGTGCTTGTAGCCTGCAGGTGGGCAGGCAATATGGGCTGCAGCTCAAGCTGCTCCATGTTGGGGGCCAACCAGCCGCTGGGCTATGACTGGCCCTATTCAGTAATGACACATTTCTGAGGGAGCTCCAGGCTGCTGCACACCACCCTGTCCCCAGTGCCAGCCACCCTGGGGCTCACCAGGCAAGGCACGATGTTGAGCTCATAGGCTTCGGGCAGCACCACTACCCCAAGATCTCCTGCTCCCAGCAGGGCAAACAGCACAGATTGTAACCTTGGCAGCTCCATGTTGGGGGTCAGCTGGCCTAGGGCCTGGGGCCGGCCCTATTCAGTAATGACCAGTTTCTGAGGGAGCCACAGGCCTCCATACATCTCATCTCTCTGTTGTTGGTGCTGGCAGCCCCGGGCTCATCAGGCATGACCTTTGTACTTGCAGCCTGCTGACTGAGTCGCGGTGACCAAGGGCACAGATTGGTCATTCTCCATGTGTGTCCTTCTATTCCGTCTTTCCTTCCAGTTTTGTGAGTCCACTTCTCAAAAGCATCTTCCCATAAGGCTTGCCTTTTTTTTTCTTCTTAGTTGTTCCAGAGCTATTGTGGGCTCTGCAGACCCTTTTTCTGCTGTGATGTTTCCCTTCAGGGCCTCCATGAGTCTCTCAGACTCCTGGGAGCTCCAAGGTGGGTGTTGATGGCTGCCATCATCTTTTCAAAAGCAACCCTTCTTTCTTAAGTGACTTCTTATCAAGTGACAAGTGACAAGAAATCAGCTAAGATGGGGTAATACGGCAATCTGTGTTTGTGTGTGTGTGTAGGAGGTACACACACACACACACACACACACACACACACACTCATGATGAGGTCCCACTATTCAGCTCAGGCTTCCTCATGATATTGATCCTCCTGTCTCAGCTCCCCAAGTGCTGGGATTGCAGGCTGTGTTCTCACACTTAGCTGAAGAGGAAGAATCGGGAGTGAGCAGTTTGAGGGGGACCTTGCCATGAAGGAATATTGGAAGGTGGGAGATGGGGGAGGAGGGGGATGGTGGTCAGAAGACACACTAGCATCTTCCTTGTGGAAGCAGGTCACATACCAGATGGGTGTTAACATTGCCCAGGTTTCCATGTGCCTTTTGTGGTACTCTGGATCTCTGAGTTTAGACAATAGCATTCCCAAGAAAGTACACGATACAACCAAGGCCAAGAAGCAAGGCATTTTCATTAGGCCCTATGACCCATACCTTAAAAATCAACAAGTAGTGGACTTGCTTGTAATTTATGAATGTGTCCCCTGATGTTCTCTCTTCGTGTCTGTAAATGACTTTCTCAAGGAACAGGTGGTTCAGTGTCAAAAAAGGAAAAGAAAAACCAGAGAAAGAAAGTTACTTGTTTCATGGTTATTGGTACTCTGGGCAAGAGGCTTCTCTCAACCTCAAGGAGGAGCAAGGTGGCCAAGCTACAGTACAAGTGAAACATTACCCACAGCTGGAGAGTGAGCCCCTGCCAGAGCCCTCAGCCTAAGGTCCTCGCCTCACTCAAACACACATCCACTACGGGAGACCACACTTCCAGACCCGAGTTACAGGTCCTAAGTCCTTAGTCGCCTGGAGCTGCATAGACTAAATGTAGCCAGCGGGCTGGGAACGCAGCTCAGTTGGCCAAGTGCTTACCACACGAGTGCAAGGATCTGATTGATCCCCAGCACCCACATAAAATGATAATAATAAGCCAGGCGGCGGTGGCGCACGCCTTTAATCCCAGCACTTGGAAGGCAGAGCCAGGCGGATCTCTGTGAGTTCGAGGCCAGCCTGGTCTACAGAGTGAGATCCAGGACAGGCACCAAAACTACACAGAGAAATCTTATCTTGAAAAACCAAAAAATAAAAAATAATAATAATAATAAACAGCTGTGATGGCACATGACTATAATCCCAGCATTGGAAGTTGAGGGCATGTTGGTCTCTGGGACTCATTGGCCAGCCAGCCTTAATTGGCAAGTCCATAGACTCCGTGAGAAACCCTATCTCAAAAAACAAAGTAGAGCCGGGCGGTGGTGGCGCACGCCTTTAATCCCAGCACTTGGGAGGTAGAGCCAGGCGGATCTCTGTGAGTTCGAGGCCAGCCTGGGCTACCAAGTGAGTCCCAGGAAAGGCGCAAAGCTACACAGAGAAACCCTGTCTCGAAAAACCAAAAAAAAAAAAAAAAAAAAAAAAAAAAAAACAAAGTAGACAGCTCCTGAGAATGACACCTGAAGTTGACCTCTGACCTACACATGAATGCACACACATGTGTACACACACAAACCTGCAGCATACGTACATGAGTAAATAGACACACATAGAGAGAAATAAATATATAATGTCAAAAGGCAGGCGTTGACTGCTTCTCACCAGCTGTCACTCAAGCTTTGGTCGCCCTTTGAGGCAGCCTTTGGCGTAAAAGGTGACTTGAGGGGCTTGTTGTGTAGCTCGGTGGTAGAGTGCTTGCCCATCATACGGAGGTCCCTCACTTCCAGCTCCAGCACCACCCAAATAGGAGGAGGTGCCTGTGAGTGCCGGAGAGTCCTGAGAACCATTGCTCAGAATCCTCTCGAGGATCCTAAGTCTGATGATGACTGGGTTTTCACATTGCCGCGGGAGAGGTGCCTCCCACAGTCCTCGTTAGCACATCAGTGCGTTCCCCGTCTCACATGGAAAAAATGGGACCGCAACGCCTGCGCAGACCATTGTCCCCTAAAGCACAAGTTGAGTTTCAGAAGATGACTGGTGTCTAGCCACACCTTCCCACTACTAGACTGCTAGCAACCAATTTTTCTTTTAAAATACAACTTGAAACAAGAGAGGTTTGCTGAAATACACACAGAAGCACACTCACCAAAAAAAAAAGGAAACGAAAAAGAAAAAAAAAAAACCTCTCATGGGAAAGTCCCAGGAGCTGGTCTCTATTTACCAATGTACTGCTTCCAGCTTCCTAGAAGCCCCAGGAGGAAGGGACAAGATGAAGCACTCCTGGTTCCCTGTCCCCAGGGTGCTCACATTGGGGCTTTCCTAAGCCCCGAGGTCCCAAGGGAAAAGCTTTTGCTGTTATCATACCTTAAACCACTCGGTTTTACTAAATATTTGCAAAATAAATTAAAACTAGAAAGAAGGCAGAAGCGCAGCTGCACACCTGCTTTCCTTGAATGTCGGGCCCCGTAAACACCAAGCTCAGCAGTGGGGGCTGGGGAGATGAGTCAGAGTGCACTGTGCAGGCATGGGGATCCGAGTTCAAATCCCCAGCTCCTGCTTAAAAACCAGGCATGACCACTTCTGCACCTTTAACCCCAACATGGTGGTGGGCAGAGATGGGGGGCCAGTGGGATGTGCTGGCCGCCAACCCAGCTGTAGTTTCCATGAGAGACAACGCCTCAAGGAAATACGGCAGGGAGTGGTAGAACAGGGTGCCCAGCATCCTCCTCTGGATTCCACATGCCCACAAATGAGCACATGCCCCCACCCCCCCACACACACACAGAGACAGAGAGACAGAGACAGAGAGACAGAGAGAACTTTAATGGTGTTTCAGGCAGGCTGGACCATAAGGTCCCAGGCTGTCCCATGGGTGTCTTTCACTTACCTGAGCTGCATAGTATCAGGGGCCTGTGGATGCTTCAGGCAACCTGGACCATGAGGACCCATAGAAGGATTCTTAAATGTGTGTGAACATCATAATTACTTGAGAAATATCCTTTGATTATTAATCATAATGTCCTTTGATTCCCAGACCAGCTCACAATGATCACTGTAGCAGCATTAAAAGCCAAAAACTCCCAAGGCCTGCACCAGAACTAAAGTGCCTTCCCATCATCCAAATAGTGCACAGTGGCTTCCCATCATGCAGCAGCTGCTGGGGACTTAAAGCCTGGTCCGTAGCAGTAGTGGGAGACCCAGGGCTCCTCGTCACGTGAGCGTCAGGCATTCTCGGAAGCTGCCATGTAAACCTCTGTGACAGGTGAAAGCAGACTTAGAGACAAAGCCATATGCATTCCTTTGAAGGGAGTTTTTTCTGACTTTGTCTTGTAGGGTGGTGGTTTTCATCATCTGGGAAGCTCTCGTAAAGGACACATTATATTTTCAGTGGGAGTGTATCCCTACTAAATTAGAGTTTGGCAGGGACAAGGGGCAAAAGTCTACATTTTTGAAGGATATTTCTCAAGTAATTATGATGTTCACACACATTTAAGAATCCTTCTATGGGTCCTCATGGTCCAGGTTGCCTGAAGCATCCACAGGCCCCCGATACCATGCAGCTCAGGCAAGTGAAAGACACCCATGGGACAGCCTGGGACCTTATGGTCCAGCCTGCCTGAAACACCTACATGCCTACCAGGCACCACAAGGTGCTAGGCTGTTGTGTGTCAATATGATGAACAAGTATATGGTGGTGAAATCAGAAAGAAAGGGAGGCAGAATGGTCCGTGTGCTGTGGTAAGAGGCAGTTCTGAAGAAGTAAGGGCTGTGAGGTATGAGTTGATGTTGGTGGTCTGCTTGCCACTGGGAACCAGGGTTGCTGCCTATAGCCATATCTGGGTCTTCAACAGCCAGGGTCTGTAGTAGGTAGCTGTTCCAGCTTTGACCTGGAAGTACTACCCCCATTGAGGCTTCAGTAACTGTCAAGCCTACAAGGCGGACCGAGAGAGGACCCCTGAAGACCCGAGATTCGGATGGGCCGGCTCTCTTGGTTTCTGGATCCTGGACGCTGGAGGTAGACCGAGCAGAGTTCTCCAGAGAACACCGCTAGACTGCACTTCACCTTTCCAAGACCCTGTAACCTATCCCTTTACTTGTAAGTTACCCCACAAAATAAAGCTCCCTTTTAACTATGTGGAGTTGCCTTAATATTGGGCGCCAGGGTCTGTGTTGATGTCCAAGGCTTCAGTAACCACTGAAGGCCATGAGGATGACCAGGGTCTGGTCAAACACCTGAGTCCATGTTAGTCTACGAGGGCCATGCTTCCACTGGAGCTATGCTAATCTGGATGGCCTGTGCTATCACCCGGCACCATGGTGACATCTGAGCCTAAACTGAGTCGAAGGGCCATGTCTGGATCTGTGGCCCTACAGCAGCCAAGATAGGTCTGAGTTGATGCCCATGGCTCCTGATACCATCAAAGGCCATGCTGATGCCAGGGACCTGGGCTGCCACCTGGGGCCATGTAGGTATCCAAGGGCCACTCTGCTGTGGGGGCTGTGCTGATCTGGGTGGGCTGCACTGCCTGGGACCATGGTGACATCCGAGCCCAGGCTGCTGCATGGGACCATGTCTAGGTCCCTAGTCCTGTCACAATCAGGGTCTGTGATGTTCCATGGCCCATGATGCCACCAAAGGCTACACAGATGCCTAGGGTCTAGGCTGCATCCTGTGGCCACGTTGGTGTCCAAGGGCCATACTGCTACTGGAGCCTTGGTGTCGTCTAGGTCAGGGCTGCTGCCGAGAGCCATGTCTGGGTTCATGGCCCTACAGCAGCCAAGGTCTGTGTTGATGTCTGTGATTCCTGGTACCACTGAAGGCAATGCTGATGCCAGGCGTCTGGGCCACCACCTGTAACCATGTTGGTGTTCGAGGCCCTTGCTACCATGAGGGTCATGCCAATCTGTGTGGCCTGTGCAGACACATGGGACCAGGCCCAGGCTGCTGCCATGGGCCATGTCTGGGTCCGTTGTAGGAGCCTGTTTTCAGGTTCCTCATGGCTTTACCCAGCAGGTCTGCACAGAAAGGATGATTAGAACCACGGGCCTGAATGCAAGTGTCTGAGATGATCTGCACTTGGCTGTGCTGGGGGAGGAAGTCTTTTGCTCCACCCCTTGGCATCTCTATAAATACCCTGGGGCAGAGACAGTCAGGTCTCCTTGGAATAGGTTCCAGGCCCTCTCACGGACAACCTTTATTTTCTATCTGTTTATCTCCACAATCTAAATTTTTCTATCTAATAATTCCTGCTGCTCCAACTCAAGAAAACTCTGGGGAACTGTGGGGTTGGTGGGTAAATGCCCCACAGTCTGTGGCCCTCCAGCAGCCAGGGTCTGGGCTGATATCCATGGCTCGTGTTACCGCTGGGGTTCATGAGAACCATGCGTGTTGAAATCCAAGGACCATGCTGAGCCAGCCCTGTCCCTCACTGGCTCCAGGGTAGCTGGCCCTGCCTCTCACTGGTCACTGTAGCAAGAGAGCTAGCATGCCCCCATGGGGGAGCCGACCCAGCACTTGGGAGAGATGGCCCCATCCCACACCACAGTCATGGGAGAGAAAGCCCTAACCCTCACCACAGTCGTGGGAGAGGGAGAGCTGGCTCTGCTGCTCATCTGAGGAGGTGATCCCACTGGCCTGAACTGAGCAGTTTAACTACACCCAGACCCACATCCTGGGCCTTGGGTTGACCCACCCTAACAGCTGCCCCATCTTTGACCTGCTGGAGTGCTTGAAGGAACTGGTCATGCAGAATGATAGCCGTAGGATCTCCATGACTCAAGGCAACAACAGGATATCCAAGAGGACTTTTGATAAGGGCCCAGTGATGGTGGTGTGCCAGAAACCAGAGGCCTTGAGCCAGACCAACAACTCACTGAAATGAACATTTTTTGAGTGGAGCTGATTGGACAAAAGGGTGCATGACACACCACAGCTCCTGATGCCACTAGGGTGAATGAAGAGGTGTTGGAGAGATGGGAGGAGCGAGGTAGGTTTATTGGTTTTCTTTTGTTTTTAATTAATTGGGGGGCACACTGCAGGGGTGAGGGGCAGATGTGGAGGGACTGGGAAGTGAGCAGGATTGGGGTGCATGATGTGAAATTTCCAAAGTATCAATAAAGAATTATGCTTAAATTAAAAAAAAAAGAATCATCCTACTGTTGATGATGTTGCTCAACTAGTCATGTGCTTGCCTAACATATGACCAGATTGGATATCAGCACCACATAAATTAGTATGTTAGTCCATATTTCTAATCCCAGCACTCAGTGGCAGAGGCAGGAGAATCAGAAATTCAAGGTCATACTCGGCTACATAGAGAATTTGAGGTCAGCCTGGATGTTGGAGCTGTTTGGGAAGAATTAGGAAGTGTGGCCTTGTTGGAGGAGGTATGTCACTGGGGCTGGACTTTGGGATTTTAAAAGCCCACTGTCTTCCTAATTAGTGCTGTGTGTGTGTGTGTGTGTGTGTGTGTGTGTGTGTGTGTGTGTGTGTGTGTCCTACTTCCAGATAAGGATGTGGGCACTCAGTTGTTACACCAGTACCCTGCCTGCTGCCATGCTCCCTGCCCGGCTGTGAAATGGACCCACCATCTGGAGCCCTGAGCTCCATCAAACTCTTTATTCTATCCATTGCCTTGGTCACGGTATCTTCTCACAGCAACAGAAAAGTAACTGAGACATCAAGCCAGCCTGCCTGCCTGCTTCCTAAAGCAGGCAAGACCCTGTCTCAAAAAATATTTTATTTCTTATTTTACCCATAATAAGATTGGAAATGCAGCCGGGCGGTGGTGGCGCATGCCTTTAATCCCAGCACTTGGGAGGCAGAGCCAGGCGGATCTCTGTGAGTTCGAGGCCAGCCTGGGCTACCAAGTGAGTCCCAGGAAAGGCGCAAAGCTACACAGAGAAACCCTGTCTCGAAAAACCAAAAAAAAAAAAAAAAAAAAAAAAAAGATTGGAAATGC